TGATGTCTTTAAATCTCGTACTTCCTTTTCGGATGCAGCCTATCATCATACTACTTACTACTGCCCTAAAGCTGACTTGGATTCTTTTTGTGACTTTCTTCATGATGTTCTTTGGTTTGATATCTTTTCTTTCTCAGCTGATAAATGCGCCTCCTACATAACCTCCTGGATGCAGGCAGGAATGGATACTTTTATTCTTTCTTGTCGGTTTCAAGTCAAGCCTCATTCTAATCCATGGTTTTCACCTTCTTGTGCAGCTGCTATACTTTAATAATCTAATTGTAATCATTTTTCTAATTTTTTTCAAAAGAACAACTCTCTTCAGAACAAGCGACTATTTATTATTGCAAGAAATCGATGTAAGTGCTATCAGATGCCTAGCTCCATTATTTTTAGTTCAATAAATCTTGTATATTATCTCAGAAGTTAAGCTCTAGAGACTTTTGGAAAATCCTCAACAGTGTTGTTAACAAAGATAGTTCTAACATTCCATCTCTCATTCATTGGACTGATCTGATCTCTCCAAGGTAGAACTATCAGCAAAGAACTTTTCTTCTAATTCGACTACTGAATTTTATGGCTATTCTCTTCTTTTATTCTAATTAAACAGGTTAACCAATAGTTTTACATTCAAATCACTCCAGCTTACATTGCTAAAGTAATATCTCAATTAAACTCTTCTATGGCTTGCGGTCAAGACAACATTACTGTCATAGTCTTACATAATTGTTCTCCAGAATTCTCTTCCATTCTCTCTAAACTTTTTAATAAGTGTTTGACTGAGTCTTGTTTTCCTGCCTGCTGGAAAATACCATCTGTTATTCCAATATTCAAAAACTTTGGTGAACATTCTGGCCCCTCTTATTATTATCCGATCAGTCTTCTTTCTGTTATTAGCAAGGTCTTTGAGTCTTTGATCAACAAATTCCTCACATCCCATCTTGCTAACTGCTAACTGCTAACTGCTGTGACTGAAAGACTTTATCATGCATTAGAGCTATTACTCTTGACATATCTAAAGCTTTCTCTATCTGCTAAGCTTGAGCCTCTAAGTTGCAAGTTATCATGGATGCCGTTCAAAGAAGCTATCATGGTTAATTCTGTCAACTAAAACTCATTCTCCTTTGACTTGTCATTGAAGTCTAATTTGTTTACTGCATCTGTTCTGCATGCCTAAACACTTGAGTTTTGTCTAGTTTTTTGCCTCACACTTCAACTCTTTAAATCTCCCTCCCATCTTCATGTTTTCCTGACTCATACAACCTTCAACTTTTCAAGTCTTCTGTCAATTGTTTTCTTGCTCTATAACTCTATTCTTTTTTTCTAGTAACTCCTAACTTAATAGTAGTTGCTTACAGCATTGTTTGGAGTGAATCAGAATAAGGAAAAAAAAAAGAAAATCCTTATAATAAAAACAAACTGTTAAAAAGATATTGATTTTCTAATAAAGATATTTGTTGACATGAACAATTTCACTAATATCGCAAGAGACTATATAATAGAAGATTAAAAAATACCAATTATCAACCAACTGACAACCAACCATTTATGAACCTACCATAAACACCAGTTGTTGGTCTCAAACTTTGAAAAGAATTTATAAAACAAAACATAGAAGTTATATTCACATCAGCTCCAAATTTAAACGATATATTTTGCAACAATAAGACAAAACTTCCTTCAAATACAAACCCAGGCATCTACCTACTAAAATGTTCATGCAATTCTATATACATTAGTGAAATCAAAAAGAAAATTATATCAAGATGTATTGAGCACCAGAAAAATACTATAAAAGGAAAATGGGCCAATTCAGGTCTTACTGAACAATCCAAATCATGCCATGGTATGTTTGACTAGTTACATCCCAAAAATATAATGATTGCTCCAGAATATCATTTTTGAAAATTTTGAGAATCACTGGAAATAAACAGAGCTAAAGTCGGACAAAGGTTGGGGAGTGGTGAAAAAGTTTTTAATAAGGATGATGGTTATAACATGACAGCAAAAACTTGAGGTTTATTTTTTATTAGATTATTTGACGTCAACATTTAAAACCTATTTTTGTATCTTTTAAACATTTTGTTTTTATTATAATGATTTTCTTTTTAACAATTTTTATTATACCTAATAACGCTGATTGCAATAGATCAGAAAAATATCGATTAATATATATTATAACAAAACAAAAAAAACAAATATATATTTTTTCAAAAAAGTTTATACGCAATATTTTATAAATAATATTGCTAATTAAATTTAAAAAATACTTTATATAACTTGCATTAAAATATAGGCTAGTTAATGATAAGATATTTAAATATTTATTAACACAATCAATCTTTCATGTTGGTTATGAAAAATTTATTATGTGAAAATTTGTGTGCAAATTTAATGTGTGAAAATTCTGTTTAAGTTTTTAATTTTTACAGATTGCCTTAGTGACTGAGTATCTATTGAACATAATTATTTTTTATGTACAGAACTGTGTATTTATTGG